TTATAACGTTTTTTTGCTTTTACATTTGAAAGGTTCGGAGGCCGGGAAAGAAAAGAAAGATCCACTGGGTTCTCTCTCTTTATTTGTTCTGATGCGTAAAAGAGTGGAAAATACAAGTTTTACCAGCAACAATTTTTTTTTTTTTTAAAACAAATTTAGTCGTATAATCAGGGAAAACTAAATAAAAATTAATTATTTCCATACTTTGTAGTCGCTTCAACAAATTAGTGATTTATAATGTCACAAAAAAAACAGGCCCATTTTAAAAAATAAGCCCATTTAAAAACAAGAAAAAATGAACGAAAGTACATATTGCTTTGAAGTAAAAAACAGAATATTTGTAGCAAATGTGACATTCAAAGAAAGCCGATTCCGAAGTATGGATCCTATGTACAAAGCAAAAGACCAAAGAGGCATAGACTAAACTTTTCTCAAATTCTCTAGAACAAAGTTTTAAACTTTAAATAAAAAGACTTTTTTTTCCCAATCGAAATCAATGATAGCCAATAGGAGCTGGAGCTTCCTTCAGCTCACGACCTTGGTAGTGAATATCCTGCAAGTGTAAAAGTACAATTTCCATCAGTAAGAGAAGATTTAGGGTTTTAGACTTTGTATTCTTTCGATAAGAGATACTTACGGATGCAAAATGGTTGACGTCACGGTGGTGAGCCTCATCAGCACGGATCACCATGACGACGTCACGGAGAGTTGCATCTGCGGGTAGCCTCCAGTAGTCAATGGCAATAGCAGGAGCAGGAACGTTTTCAATGTTACCTTTGTCGAGTTCCTTGAGGAATTCAGTGTAAGAGTGGATGGCTTCTTCTTCAAGGTACCCAACCATACGGTGAGCGAATTTCGGGGAGATCACATATCCAAGGAAATAAGCGTTGAAGAACATTCCTTGAACAGCGATGACAAGAGCTCTCTCGTACCATTTGGGTTTAGCAACTTCCATAAACGTCATCAAGTGCATTCTCTCATTCTCTGCTTCCTCGAGAAGAGCTTTGATCCAACCTCCACTCTGCTCAAACCTCCGTAGCGATTTGCAGTGAAGCAGCATTCCTCCGACCATTCCGGGAACTGCTGCTACAGTTTCCAACATCATAGCTCGGCATCCATATCTCCTCTGTTTTAACAATGTCACAAATCAGCACAAACATTTCTCATTTTGGCTATAATGTTCTGTTTTAAACCTTTGAATCTTAATTCGTTTGGATCAGTTTTATACCCCAGAACAAAACAAGTTGATATACAAGAATTCTAAGCACAAGATATGGAACAGTACCTGGAAGAAGAGATCAGTAGGGAAACGAAGAGATTTAACAGTCCAATAAGCTAATCTATCAAGAAACGTTGTTGGTACATGATGCTTCTTCAGATCTATAGTCAAATCAGCTTTATACGTCTCCCATGGCTGCGATAAATCCAAATTAACATAGATCAATGAACAAAACACCAATAAAAATCTACGAATCAATCAATGTAACTTACCCTGAAACAGTTCCATTTCCATTCAGTACCATCTTCTTTAGTGATCTTACTCGGTTCAACACCCCAATAGCTATTGATTCCTTTCTCTCCCTTGTTACCTCCGACGTCTCCACTGGTGGATTCGTTCTCCGTTTTTTTCAGATTCGTCTCCGTCGTCTCATGAGACGGACCCAAAGTAACCGTGCTCGCAAATCGCAAGCCTCCTGAACCAAAGCTCGCCGAGAGATTCCGCCTCGACGCAACAAGGTAAGATCTGCGGAGTACTGTGGTGGTGATCATTTCGGATTGCAGAGGAAATTCCTGATAAAACCCCCAAAACACTCAGAATTAGGGTTTAAGAAAGTTCCAGCACTAACAAATTTAGATTTCCATAACCTTCAAATTTTTACTTATACTAAAAACAAATTTAGAATCTAACAAGAATACGCGACATTACGAGAATCAATCGCGTGATTAACTCTTCAGATCGATTGCTGAAGGTGAGGGTTCTTTCTCCAACAAAAAAAAAGCCAAAAGCAAAACAAGAAATTACATGAGAAGATAGAAGG